ATTATTCTTATAGATTGAAGCGTGCATTAACCAGGATAACGAGTATGCAACATGCTCCGAGTTGCTTCAGAAAACAAAATAATAGAGCAACAACAAAAGCATGTTGCTGGAAATGAGTTTATTGAAAATGCAAACTGATTGTCTGCCAGCAGGAGGCGCTGTGAGAGTGGTGGAACTAACGGGTTCTCCAGTAATGGCTGTAAACAAAGCAGCGCCGCTCATGAACAGTACTTTATCAGATAAAAATGTCATCTAAACTATTCTGAAGACAGTCGGTTCCCTTCAGAGATATTCATATAAAACACCCGCGACGCGTTTTGCTTTTGAAACGTGCAGTGCTCATGTTTATTCAACGAAGTCAAACGCCACAAATAAATCAATGTATGGGAAACACTGGTAATGTATATCGAAATATCGGAAATGTGTTTAAAAATCATATCACCGTTATTGAAAAAAATTATATCGCGATACATATTGATATTGAATTATTGTCCAGCCCTAGGTTGAATTGACCCCAATAACTTGATATTTAGGCCCTGGGATGTGAATTGTACCAGGAGAACCCCACCAAAAAATTTTTTATTTTACTCCCCCGAAAGCAATTGGGCTATTTTCTGGCTAGTTTTGAGTAGTAATTGGGCGGGTTTTGTAGCGAAAACCTGGCAACCCTGCACCAGACAGAGCTGTCATGCAGTGTGTAACCTCCTGTCTCATCATGCAGTGTGAACACAGCAACAACTGACTGCTACCCCAGATAGTTGTTCAGTGTGAAACCAACAGTGATGCAACGTCTTTGAAAATTGTGCAGTGTACTCGGCATTAGGCAACTCAGATCAGTCATCAACATCAGTCATCAGAGTCAGATTAACAATTTCACCAATATTATGTAAAAAAAAAAAAAAAAATGTGTGTATACTAACAATCAACAATTAACTTTCACAGCATTTATTAATCTTGGTTCATGCTAATTTCTATATATACTGTACTACAAACATTTTAAGTTGCATATTAGTTAATTAACATGTAAACACTGGTAAATTGTCAATTTAAAGGGGTCATATGATGCGATTTCAAATGTTCCATTCTCTTTGGAGTGTTACAAGCTCTTGGGGCATAAAGAAGATCTGTAAAGTTGCAAAGACTAAAGTCTCAAATCCAAAGATATATTCTTTATAAAAGTTAAGATTCAACCACGCCTACCTAAAACGGCTCGTTCTAACACGCCCCAACATACCTACGTCATGATGTGGGAAGATTTGCATAACGCCGCCCAAATGTTCACGCAAAGAAAGAAGGCGTAAATTGATTCTTGCTGTAGTATTGTTGTTGCCGTGTGTTTCGTTGTGAAAGCAAAACTACTTTGTTTGGCCTTCCAAAAGAGGATGATATCCGCTTCGTCATGCCTGGAGCTGATCCGTGCTGGTCGCTGAGGAAACACATCGACTTCGCGCTGTGGATCGTCGGATCGGCTTTCACTGTGGATGAAGCGGAGTTCAGTCCGGGGTCGTCACATGTGGTTGCTGCAAGCCCACCGGCCGCGCCGTTCTCAAGCCTGCCCGCCGCCGCTCACTCAAGCCGGCCTCCGCTCACTCTAGCCGCCGGCCTCCGCTCACTCTAGCCCGCCGTGTGTGACGCTGTGTGTTTCGTTGTGAAAGCGTAACTACTTTGTTTGGCCTTCCAAAAGAGGACACAACTAGAAATCAGTGGTTAAGTTGCATTTACAACACTGTTCCAGAACAGTTCAACCCCAAATATTCAGATGTGTGCAGCGCATTTTATGGAGGACTGTTTTCTTGGGAGAGTAGACTACAATGCCAGCTGTTCTGACTCACAGATTGTAAGTACGTTATTCATATTTAAAGGATTTGCCACTGATGATTCAAACGCGAGTTTTGAGCAGTGGAGAGTAGCGCTTGTTGTTTGTCATTTCACCATGCAGACATGGTTTTATGTTTACACGGCGCGATGCAACGCAATGCTTAAAAAGACAGTATAAATCATTATAATCCATAATTATGTCCCCACTGGATGCAACAAATGCCTCGTTTATAATGGGTTTTAATGTTTTTGTCTCATCGCAAAGGTCAGGACACGGAATCACAATATGGTAACGGGCGTAACATTTCCGTCAGACGCTTGAGGTATTTGGCCAATCACAACGCACTGGATAGCTGGCCAATCACAGCACACCTCGCTTTTCAGACCGATGAGCTTTGTAAAAATCGATGCTTTCAGAAAGGCGGGACATAGAAGAGAAACAATAATGTACAGTATGTGGAAAATAATGTGTGTTTTTTAACCTTAAACCGCATAAACATAGTTCATTACACCAAATACACAAAATGATGTTCTTTTTAGCAACATCATATGACCCCTTTAACAATAACAACAGTAACATTGATTAATTACCATGAACCTAGATTAATAAATTCCACAAAAATATAATTTTTTTATTTGTTAGCTCATGATACCTAATCCATGAATTCAGAAATGGCATGATGGCATTAGAAATTGCTATCCTTAATCTTTAATGTTACCATTGTATTTAATGGGACATGAGAAAACATATACTTGATTTTTTAATATTTGACAATATTAGGAGTTAAGCCCCTCGGTACATGGATGCAAGTGAAAAATACTGGGTTCAGGAAGCCGCAAAGAACAGCTGCAAAGAGGAAATTGATGGGAAATGGCCCAAATGGCTCCAAATAACATGACTAAATAATATCATTATAAAATCCAAAGACTAAATCTGCTTAATTGATGCATGACACATACAGTATCAAATTAAGTTCCACTATAAATACTATTTTGAAGATGATCTACCCCCATTCAGGTTTTACTGGATAGTATCTAAGCAAGAATTTCAGACTATGCACGAAGAACCTTAACAGAGGGCCTCTCTAATGTGTAATGTGTGTGTCCATGCATGATAGAGGCCGATATTGTCTTACGCCATATTTTGACAGTGAGGAGACCACAGTCTGACACCGTGGAGGTTGATGGCTTTGTGTGTGTGTCGAAGAAGAATTAGTTTATGTATAAGAAGAGCATTGTTTGACAGTGTGTTTATTCATGTGTATGTCAGGAGTCATTTCACACTTGTCAGCTTTCTTTTGTGAGCCACAGCCCGCAGGCTTTGAGGAAAAGCTGAGCCGCCTTTAAAAAAAACACTGCCCATTCATCCACAATTTCTCTAAGAGAGAATTTCTCAAAACTGCATTCTGAACTCTTCTGGTGTGCCTTGTATTTTAGAGCTCTCTTTACATTTACCTTTGGAAGGGCTGTGAGCAAAGCAGGGCTTTGATTCAAATAGAGTATTAAATAAAACGTTAAAATGCATTGAACTAAAAAGAGCTTGTGTAACTGCCCTCTCAGGGAATGAATATATGGTCCTAATGATCTGGCTTAACCATGCACCTTCAGGGTTGCTTTGCAGGTGTTTTATAAATCTTTGATTGGCCTTTGTCCAGCCACTGTCACCTCATTTTGCCAAAGTATAAAAGTTTTTAAAATTTCTTCTTTTTGTCTCTTTCAGGTGCTCTTTCATATGCTGAGCTGGGTACGAGTATTAAAAAGTCTGGTGGCCATTATACATACATTCTGGAGGCGTTTGGTCCGCAAGTGGCTTTTATGAGAATGTGGGTCGACATGATTGCCATAAGGTCAGTAAATCCTCATTCATCCTCCGTCTTCATCGTCAGGTCCCTGGAGAACTGCCAGAATAAACAAACACAATCCCTTTAATGCCCAAAATAAACACAAGTCTCCCTGATCAAGGTTATTTCTCAATATTACTGCTGGGCTCCAGTAGTCATAGAATAAAAACCAGAGATGAAGTGTATTATGACAATGATCAAGCCATCATGGAGACTCTCACGCAAAGACTCAAGGGCTGGATTCAGTAGGTTCAAATGTAATCACAGCACCAACAAGATTAACATATGTAGTTGTAGTTTGAAAGCAAACCAGCATCACATGAAGGAGAGCACAGAACATGTTCATGGCAAAGACTCAACTCAGACTTTTGTAGGGTATATGTGGGACTTTAACAGAAAATGCAAGATGATGTTCTATTACAATCATGATTCATTACAATGCTTATACTTCTACATCAGAACACCTATGTCTCTGAGTGATTACAGGATGTTCAGTAAAGGACACTGAGTGCTCAGCATTCATTTTTTTTCATCTTGAAGACCTGCAGGTTTGGCTGTGATCGCTCTGGCATTTGGCCGCTATATTTTAGAGCCCATCTTCATGCCATGTGGAGTTCCTGAAATTGCCATTAAATTGGCCACAACAATCGGACTCAGTAAGCTTGAGTTAATTTATACAATTTATATATTTGTATAGAAATATAGTGCTGCTTGATTACAGTGTGTCTGTACGGCCTGGTGTGTGTGCAATATTAATTAGGAGTTATTGTATATTCTGCTTCATTGCAGCTGCGGTAATGTATCTAAACAGCATGAGTGTAAGCTGGACTGCCAGAATCCAGATCTTCCTCACATTCAGCAAGCTGCTCACTATTGCCACTATCATTGTTCCAGGAGTATACCTACTTTTCAAAGGTATTTAGTTTGTATTATGCTTAATAAAAAGCTACGGTTTCTTGAATAAGAGCTTAATGCAGTATTAAAATTAAAAAAACATATTTATATAAAAAGAAACTTAATATCTTTAAAAATTATATAAAATATATAAATATGATATCAAATCCATAAATGGGGCACAGTGTACTGTATTAATATATATTAATATTTATTATTAATATCAATATTTAAAATATATTTTTAACAGGTGTTTTACCTGTATTTTTAATTTTACTTGTGTTTTAAGGTTAACGGAAAATTACTGTAAAATTACTGTTTGTAAAATTACTGAATGTTCTGCCAGAAAATTACCAGTGCATTTTCCTTTTTTCTTTTTTTTTTTTTTTTTTTTACAATGTACACACCTGAATTTTTTTTAATAATCAAAAGTGATCAAAAGTGACAGTAAAGACATTTACGATATTAATATTTTTTTTAAATTAAAGACAGAATTTTACAAAATTTACTTTCAAATAAATGCTGGTTATTAAAGAATCCTGAAAAAAAATCAAAGATTTAATCAAATATCCCTATTAATTGTATAGATTCCCCTCCCCCCCCATATTCATTTACATTTATATAATGTTGGAATCACCATTTGATTAATATAAACTAAAATTAGAGAAAACATAAGACTGTGTTAGCTTACCATAATGCTAATCATTTGCCACTGCTTCCATCTGCAGGTGAGACCAAAAACTTTGAGAATGCATTTGAGGACAGCACCGTACATTTGTCTGGACTTCCTCTCGCCTTCTACTCAGGGATGTTCGCCTATGCCGGCTGGTGAGCCAACCTTCTAATTCCACACAAATCCAATAATGCCTATAAAGTCTTTGAATACATTTTTGGCCTCTCACAGGTTTTACTTGAATTTTGTGACTGAGGAGGTGGAGAATCCTGAGAGGTTAGTGATTGGATATAACAATTATGATTTCTGCAGAAGAGGTTTGATGGTTTAATTCAGCTGTTTCTAGCAAGGAAAGCCAAACCGCAGTGATAACTTATGTGTTAATTTCCATTCCCCAGGACGGTGCCTCTTGCCATCTGTATCTCCATGGTGATAGTAATGATCTGTTACACAATGACAAACGTGGCATATTACACTGTGATGTCAGCAGAAGAGCTGTTAGCCTCCAATGCCGTAGCTGTGGTGGGTCACTCCCTATCTGCTTCTATCACACATCTTATTCATTAACAACAGCAGTGGCAAAATCCAAGATCCTAACAGTTTTTCATATAGCAGCAGTAACTGGATCTTTTAAGAAAGAGAGACAGAAAAGCTTTATAAATGCTTTCAAGCAATTTGCAGTAGTGACTGTAACAGTCAACACCTTCTTCCTCAGCAAAGTAAATTTGATTACATAAAGCAAGTGGCTCTAAATGCCTGTCTGTTTCTCTGCTGAAGTAACGTCTCTGGGTTACGTATGTAACCATGGTTCCCTGAGGGAACGAGACGCTGCGTCGAAGTCACTTTGGGAACACCCTTGCGTGACCGCGTTCTGAAGCACGTGTCAAATCCGTCCAATGGAGCAGCGAGACGTCACCAGCGGGGTGACGCAAGCACCAGAAAGCATAAAAGCGCATCCAGCAGAGCGCAAACCAGCTTCGATGAAGTAGCGCCTGCAGGGATGCAGGGAGTATGGCAAAGAGACGCAGAGTCTCGTTCCCTCAGGGAACCATGGTTACATACGTAACCCAGAGACGTTCCCCTTCAGGAACTCGAGCTGCGTCGAAGTCGCTTTGGGAACGAGAATACACACTGCACCATACTACCAAGTCCCTGCCTGTGTGTGTATCTTGCGAGCACATCACGAAGGGAGAACTTGGAAACCTGTGGTAGATGCCATGTCTAGGTTGTAAAAACGGACAAAAAGTGTGCGGAGAGGACCAGCCCGCCGCAGCACAAATGTCCTGCAAGGCCACACCCAAGTTGAAAGCCTTGGAGGCCGCCATACTCCTGGTCGAGTGCGCTCTGACCCCCATAGGTGATGGGAGGCCAGAGGACTCGTAGGCTAGTGAGATGGCCTCGACCACCCACCTACTCATAGTCTGCTTGGTCGCTGGAAATCCCTTCTTTGGCAGACCAAAACAAACAAAAAGCTGATCTGCCTTACGCCACAGGGCAAGTCTGTGTGCGTGAGCGTCCAGTGCTCGAACTGGACAGAGCAGATTAAGCCTTTCTTGGCCTACTTCCTGGTATGGAGGAGGACAGAATGCCTGAAGTACTATGGGCCCTGGTGAAGAAGTGGGCACCTCAGGGACATACCAGGCCCTCGGGTAAAGGAATGCCATACCCATGCCTGGAGCAAATTCCAGGCACAAAGCAGAAAGTGCCTGAAGATCCCCAATGCTTTTTAGTGAGGAAATAGCAAGGAGAAAGATGGTCTTGAGCCTGAGCAACTTGACCAAACTTCTTCTATG